GGTGAGCCATCCCCATGTGCCCGTTTACTTCTTTGTCTATTAGTCATTTTCACCCGCATGGTTTTACTCCTCTTGCATCCTCTCCCCTCCAGATATGTCAACCACTCTTGTGCCCCCAATTGTGTGGCGGAGGTTGTTACTTTTGACAAAGAGGACAAGATCATCATCATATCTAGTCGGAGGATTCCTAAGGGAGAGGAGGTAAAAGAACCAACATAATACCATATTCATTCTAATCTACAGTGTACAGAGAGCTTCATGAAGTTGTGAAGTGGCATCAGCTACTTGCTTGAAACTGAAGATGTGCAGAAACTAAGCTGACCTTACGTTTTCCTGTTACCAGCTGACTTATGACTATCAGTTCGACTTTGAAGATGATCAGCACAAGATCCCCTGCCATTGTGGAGCTTGGAACTGCCGCAAGTGGATGAACTGACCAGAGAGAAGAATGGGGTGACAGAATGAATGGAGTAACACCTTCATGACTAAGCTTGCCGAAATTCGACATCCCACCCAGAGCTGCTTCCAGTGAAGGCGCTTGTGCTTTTTATACATTTTGGCAGTTGCCTTGTGGTTTCCTGTCAGTGCCGTTCACGCTCTGGGAGCCAAAATTATGAAGGAAAAGAACTGGATCTGACATCACTAACCAGCCGCTGCAGCCCCCACCCTCTGCCGCTGCCTGGAGATCTAATAACAAACTATGAAATACGAGTCTTAAAGGATCTTCGTAATGCGTTCCAGTTAATGCCACAGTGATGTCGAATTTTACTTTCATGCCTTTAGCTGACTTTTAATCCCTCAAATGCTTTTCATCGACTCCAAAAGGGATGTGCTGCTGTCCAGTTATGTACAGTGATGACCACTGAAGAGAGAGTAGCACGTGTTTCCTCTGTTTTAGTATATATTTTCTTCCTTATTCCCCCAAAACATGGTCTCTCCCTGTGCATCAGTGATGATGAAAGATTGTGGTTATTGGCTGGACAATCTAAAAATCAGTGCATAGTGTGATAGACCAGAGGCAGTGAGACACACAAACACAGCCACCTGCTCCCTGAAAGCGGACAGTTTGAATGCATTCAGGGTGGTAATTCTGACCCAGTCTACCTCATTTGAGTCAATTAGGACCTGTAGGCTTTGAAAGCTGTAAAGGACTGCTTTGGGGGGGGGGGAGTTAGAGGTGGAGGAGACATTAATGGTTATTACTCTTAAAAAAAGCTGGGAAATTTAAGCAGGTTAGCTGTAATTTTTATAAGTATATGAAATAACATGGGAATGGTAAGGATAACCATGATATATTGACCATGCCCAGTCTGGGAAGGCCTGTGCATTTCAGAAACTGCATCAGTCAGAAATCAGTCCTGAATGGTGAACTCCCACTGTTATATCCGAGTCTCCATTTGAAGTAAAACATGATAGACATTGGATTTTGTGTATATACTCGTACATGATGCACAACTAAATCCCAAAATGTTATGGAGGTTTTTGTCTGATGCTCAAGACAAAGGGAATTTCACAGCGTTCCTATTGCTAATAGGCCATAAGAAAAGCTGACAGGGAGCCTATTGTGATGCTGGTCTGACGCCCCCGTTTCTGCCCGTCTTCTGACGAGCTTCTCCCAGGAGACCAGCTGTATGTTACTGATTACTGTAGTGAGGCCTACTTGACTTACAGCTGGCGTACTGACCTTTGCACCCCACAGCCAAATCCTTAGTCAATCATGCTTTTCATTTTAAGGGCCTTTGGGGGAAAGAGTCTTAAAGGGCATTTAGTTAGTTTTTCGCTTTTTTGTGTGTGTGGGAGTGGGACTCTCCAACTGCACACACCTCTCCCCCTGAGGTAAGCTGCAAGTGTAAAAACTGTATATAAACAAGGGGAACAAAAGCTTCACCCCTTTTTAAACAATTAAAGTGAGAGAAATCATCCACTGGATATTGTTTTAATACAAGTATTAAATATATATATGAATATACACACATATAAATAGAACAGTCAAGAGACTATATGTATATGATTTTTTTTTTCCTTTTGCATTTAAGTTTTTTTCTATTAGCATTTTTGCTACGAGCTTGTATACTCCAGCAGTAAATTTTAGCTAAACACAGAAAGACTGTTTTGCCAATGACTTTGGCTAGAAGCAGGGCTGGATCACATGGAACAGATCTTATGAGAGGATCTCCAATCGGAGAGGTGTCTGCCTATTTTTATTTCAATAAATAAAAAGAAAAAAAAAAAAGATTGCAGGTAAAGGTGCAATGACGTGTGATGCGGTTGTGTAGGTTTGTTTCTCCCTTCCTACTTGTACTGTTGTGTATGCTACTGGTTGTGAATATGTACCAAAATGAGTCCCTGGATTGTTCAGAGACTTCCCTGTTATGTGCACTCCTCAGAAAAGAAGAAACTTTGAAGGTCTTTTACTACCCTAGTGTCGTCCTAACTATGCTTATTAATACTGGTAACTTTTTCTAGCCTATGAAAGTACAGTGTTGGATTAGTTTGTGTGGAATTACTATATATTCAGCCCATTTTTATATTGTGTGATTTGACTTCAGCTATGATTTTGCGAGGAATCATGTTCTCAGTCAGTCATGTTTTAATTACAGCCCTGATAGTAACGTGAACACGCACTGTTTTTGACCAACAAACCTTTCAGGGGAGTTGTTTTCTTTTCTTTTCCTCCTAGGTGACTGACAAAACGTGTTGAATCTATATATACATAAATTATTTTTGACTATCCTGTTCTTCACATAGCTTTTAACTTAAAGATTGCCTAAGTTCTTGAAGATTTTGAAAGCATTACCTTCTTTTTAAAGATGTTTAATCTGTACAGCAGAGTTACTTTTAGGAAAAAATGCTAAATAAATGATCATTTTGATTCTATGTGGCATGTTTTGTATAATTTTGAATTGTACATATTTTTGACAATATGCCCTTTTTATTCCACTTTTTCCTCTCCCTCTCAATTTACATCTGTCTCCACTTCTGTAAAGAAATAAAGATGCATTTTAAATATAAAATTGAAGGTTTTTCCATAAGTGTTTCCACGCCGTTTTCAGCTGCATAGGCAGTTACTACAGTTATTGGCAATTACACATAGAAATTCCCTCTCTGTCGGTTGCCTAGAGTATGTGGCTGGCACCTCTGATAGTTCTTAACTTCATTTTAACATGCTGCTGTAAAATGTAAATTAAAAACAATGCAATGAGTTACAAATCATATAAACCCATATTTAACTGAAAATAGAACAAAGACAAGATATTGAATGTTTGAAACAGAAAAGTTATTGTTTTATGAAAAATGTATGCTTAGTTTGAATTTGATGCCAGCAACACGTTTCAGAACAGTTCAGAAAAGGGACAGGGTTATGTTGACCACTGTGTTGCATCACTTCTTGTAACAACACTCTAAACAATTGGGAACTGAGGAGACCAGTTGCTGGAGTTTTGAAAGTGAAATGTTGGCCCATTATTGCCTGATACAGGATTTCAACTGCTCAACAGTTCAGGGTCTCCATTGACATTTTTTCGTTTCACGATGTGCCAAATGTTTTCAATGTTGCTCGAAAACCTGTGTATATCATTCAGCATTAATGGTGCCTTCCCAGATGTGCAAGCTACCCACCCCATGGGCACAAATCCACCCCCATCCCATCACGGATTCTGGCTTTTGAACTGTCTGCTGATAACAAGCTGGATGGTCCCTCTCCTCTTTAGCCTGGAGGACGCAGCAGCCATGATTTCCAAAAAGAATTTCAAATTTGTCAGACCACTGGACAGTTTTACATTTTGCCTCAGTCCATCTCAAATAAACTCAGGCCCAGAGAAGTTGGTGGCATTTCTGGATCATGTTTAGATATGGTTTCTTCTTTGCATGGTAACATTTCATCCTGCATTTAAGGATGCAGCCAAGAACTGTGTTTACAGATAATGGTTTTCGGAAGTGTTCCTGAGCTCTTACACTGATTTCCACAATGGAATCGTGTCTGTTTTTAACGCAGTGCTGCCTGAGGACCTGAAGATTGACTATCCAATACTGGTTTTTGGCCTTATCCCTTGAATACAGAGATTTCTCTGGATTCTCTGAATCTTTTAATGATATACCGATATACCATCAATGATGAAATTCCCAAATTTCTTCCAATATTACGTTGAGGAACATTATTCATAAATTGTTGCACTATTTGCTCACACAGTGGTGAACCTCTCCCCATCTTCACTGCACAGAGCAGTGAACCTCTCCCCATCTTCACTGCACAGAGACTCTGCCTCTCTGGGAGGCTCTTTTTATACCTAATCATCTTAGCAACCTGCTACTGATTAATCTAATGAGTTGTGAGATATTTAACCTGGTGATTTGTTGACAACTTTTTCATTTTTTTATTGTCCCTCCCCTAACATTTTTAAAATACGTTGCTAGCATGAAATTCAAATTGAGCATATATTTATATAAAACAATACTTTTTCTCAGTTGTTTTTGTTGTATTTACAATTAAATATGGCTTATATGATTTGCAAATCATTGTGTTGTTTTTATTTACTTTTTACGCACTATCCCAACTTTTCTGGAAAGAGGTTGTAAATGATAACTATAAGGTAAAACAGCCAAAGTCTACCACACATTACAAAACGCAAATGTTTAAAGTTAGTTTACGTTTTACACCAGGACCTTACGAATACACTTAGGTACTACCCGGACTTTCTTCGAGATTGACGTTAATTCGTATCTGAATGTTGTCATTTTTACTGTGATGTGTTGACTTACATGGCTCTGAATCTCACTTTCACAAATTCTGCACTTTGTTTAACCACTTTGTAATCACAATACTTATACGTGAAATAAATGTAATTTCTGCTCCATACAGTCGACGAGCTGAACCACTAAGGGAGGAAATTAGAATGATGACAACAAATAAGGGGCGACATTTAACACCCACCATAAAAATGACTGCGGTCATGATGCCTATAGCTGCGCATGCGCAGATGGTGTCAATACCGGAAGTAAACAAGGCGGGACGTGGTAGGCAGGTCTGTCAGCGTCAAGGCAAGATTTCAAAACCCGGCTCACCCACCCAACACCCGGCTGGCCGCGCAGCAGCCGCACAAAAGCAGCAGACGTGGAAAGTACGGGTGCTACGAGGTCGTGGGTGGTTAAATGCGCGGACAAAGCGGACCCGGCGAGTTGGACATGGAGAGCGTAAGTAGCGACGGGTGTGCACTGCTCGTGCGCGAGCGGCCGCGCGGGGTCCGGACGTCCGAAGGTCCGGGAAGCTGTACTCACAGATAGGGGCAGTGTTAGCTTCGCCGCTAAAGTGTGCGTATGCTTATTTATGGTGTTTGATTTAGTGTCCATAGACTCAAACAACAGCCCAGTGCGATATTTTGATACATATACTTTATATAACACGCCACAAATATACTAAGCACAAAAATGCAGTAATCATATATACACACACCATATAGTATGTGCTGTATGGAAGGGTGTTACAATCGCCTGTACAGTAAACGCAAGCTCAGTAAACAGCAGTATAGTTAATGCAGGTAGAGTATAACATAAAATTCAGCACGCTGTCTGCGTTTGAAGCGGGTAGGGTGTTCCGTCATCATGCCACCTGAACCGCCGTGGGTGTCCGATCGGACGCAGTCACCTACTTACCGTGGTCTCATGTCACCCACTGATGGGAAATCTGTGGTTTGTCTTTCGGCCTTCGCCCCTGTCCACCTTCCAGACCGTATTGACTTACAGGTTCACCTTCGCCTAAATCGGCACGTGCTGCTTAATTGATGAACTGAAATGTAGGACTTTGACCCTTCCCAACTGGAACATACGTAATAAGGACGATGCTTTAAATTTGGTGTGCTGTTCCTGCTCTGCATTATGACTGTTTTGCCGCGGTGATCTGTAAAAACGTTGTCTGTTTTATATATATATATATATATATATATATATATATATATATATGGGAGATAACCAGTTTAACTATGTCAAGGTTTAGAACATCGAGGAGTTAAAACTGAATATGACGTCGGGGGATCGACTCTAAGACAAGACACTCTCAAGCCTAATGTTCAGTAACACTTTAATCGATGCAGTAGTTACACTTTTACATTTTACTGTGAACCTCTAGACACTTTCCTTGGCTGGTTGACTGACAGGTTGATTTGTTTGGACTGAGGTGGCATATTTTGGGAAATGTGCCAGAGTAAGTGTTTTTAGTATCATCCTTTTCTTAAATTATTGAAATTCCAGATTTATTATTAATCATCTATTAATAATTAACAATAACTTTATTATTAATTTGACCTAGCAGAGGAAGGCTTTGCTTACTAGGCATCCCATAATATAATTATAAGCTCTAGAAGTGTGTGTATGACAACGGCGGGAAGCTCATGGTTAATCTGTTTTCAGGTTACTGCTCTTCCTGATGACCTGGAGGGGAAAAAGGAGATGGCAGCCACAGAGGGTATGAACTCTGCGGAAATGTTCATGAGGGACCTTGAGTTATTATTGTTTGTTTGTTGTTTTATTTAATGGGGAAAATGCATATTGATTGCATTGCAGTAAATATGCCAGAGGTAGCCAGAAGGCTAGTTTTCATCTGTACTCCCTGGGTTCTTCTCTTTGTTATAAGATCACATACAAAGATAAAACCATTCGATGAGATAAAAATCATGAATGAATGATGGTCATTTCAAAATGTGCAAAGGCAGGGAACTTTAAGCACCTGTCTGAATGGAAGTCTAATATATCACAAAGAACACACTGTGAGTAACTTTCCTTAGAAGAGAGATGAGATCGATCAGAATCAGCACTCTCTCTCTCACATTTCCTATGAGGGCAGATGGACCTTAATGGTCCTTTTGGGGCTTTTGTGCCAAAACAGAAAAAGCCCCCCCCTTAAGATCTGCTGTATGTTTATGTGATGATGGCAGCATCTGTGTCTTGTCTAGACGCAGATAAGAACGTTTACACACGCTTCATGAAATCCCATCGCTGCTACGATCTGGTGCCCACCAGTTCAAAGCTGGTTGTGTTTGACACCTCACTGCAGGTGAGATTCTCAATAGCTCTGATTTGTTTAGAACTTTTATATTAAAACACAAAATCCAGGAAGTTGTTTTGGATAGACAGACAGAAAAACATCTAAAGTTTTTCTATTCTTTTTTTCCTTCAGGTGAAAAAAGCATTTTTCGCTTTGGTGTCCAATGGGGTGAGAGCAGCCCCACTATGGGACAGTAAGAAGCAGTGCTTTGTGGGTAAGGCCTGCTACTGTAACTTTGTAAATGGCCACATTTCACCTGGGTCACTGTGCCCTCTCTAATGATGCTGCCTTCACAGGCATGCTGACCATCACTGACTTCATCAACATCCTGCATCGCTACTACAAATCTCCTTTGGTAAGATTGCCTTCTGCTGGACTCACTGTTATTGCTCCATTGCCCCTGAATTCTCAGAACCACCAATTCAGGATTTCTGTAAAGCCAGTAGGTCACATGTGCCATGTTGAAACAGGGCTGTGGTGTCCATGGTACTTCATATTTTGCTTCCTTCTGCATGTTTCTGGTGAAATTGCAGGTTCAAATATATGAGCTAGAGGAGCACAAAATAGAGACATGGAGAGGTAAGCACTTTTTTTGTTGTTGTTTTCATCAAAAATATGTACACAAACGAAAGCTGAAAATGGCCCCTCTATTCCCCAGAGGTCTATTTACAAGACTCCTTCAAGCCCCTAGTCAGCATCTCCCCTAATGCCAGGTAAGCACTCCCCAACTCGCTCACCAGCTGCACTGAAACAGGCAAATCTTTTCTTCACACTCCCATAAATAATGTGTGTTATCTGAAATATAATTCAGAGATTAGGGTCTAGTAGATCTGGTCATATGTCCTTCACCTGTGTGTTTTTTTTGGTGCTCTGGGGATATGCTGTTGCTCTGGTCACCAGGAGTACCAGGGTATTATGATGAGGTTTTGAGTTGAACAGGAGGCTCCTCCAGTGTGTCACTGCAGACCTGCCTGGGTGAGACATTGTCTCAGCTGTGCTGTCCTTGCTCCCCTTGAAGTCGGTGACCTTGTGTCACAGGTTTTAGTTTGAGACAGAACATGGTTTTCGTCTGGTCAGCGCCACTCACAGGGCGTCCTGCTCCAGAAATAATAGAATGGTTGCCCAAGTTGTGGACGGTTTAGGTGGACGAGTGTGTCACTGGCTGCCTCTCTATCTCTCTGCCTGCCCCCCCAGCCTATACGATGCCGTCTCTTCTCTGCTGAAGAACAAGATCCACAGGTTGCCCGTCATTGACCCTCTGACAGGCAACACCCTCTATATCCTGACGCACAAGAGGATCCTCAAGTTTCTCAAGCTCTTTGTGAGTGCCCGTTTCCTAGCTGTGTGGGTGCCATCACGCCGGCCCCATTCACCTGAACACCGCATAACTGCAGCTCCTGCATCCCCATTTGCTGTCCCTTCATGATGACCTCATTAACATGCGGAACTCGCACCTAATTTTCAGTGTCTCCGTCCCCTTTGTCCTCTCCTGCTGTAGGCAGCACGACATGGCCTCCAAACTTGAATAATGCAGATTAGCAGCCCCTCCCCCAGTGTGTGTGTGTGTGTGTTTTTTTAATCTAGACACCATGTTTGAGTAGTGTAGCTCTGATATACATAGACCTAAATTCCTTTTGCCCTTCATGAATGTCTTTCCCTGTTATTGCTCGGACATAGCTAAACTGGGACCAACCCAGGCATATCTCTAGGGGGTACATTCTTCAGGAAGGCCACACGCTCCCGTTTCATTGGTGGCTTTGGTCGACATAATACTCTCCTGGCTTTGGCAGCTGGTATGTGAACATGGCCTCTGTCTCCCACCCCCCCCCCCCCCCCATCAGATTTCTGAGATGCCCAAACCCGCCTTCCTAAATCAGACACTGGAGGAGCTGAATATCGGCACCTTCCACAAGATCGCCATGGTGCATGCTGACACGCCCCTCTACACAGCGCTGGGCATCTTTGTGGACCAGAGAGTATCTGCGCTACCAGTGGTGGATGACAAGGGTGAGGGGGGCAGGTGGCAGGTGGCAGGAAGGGTCCTCATTAATATTCATGAGGAAATCATGTGACTGGTCATGTGTTAGTGTCTCTGCAGCTGTATGGACGGCTGCAGAGTACATCTGTCTGCCTGTACATCTTCAGTGGTGTGGATTTATAAAAGAATTAAATCAGTAATTAGTAACAATGTTTAAAAAAGATATCTCAGTATTAGTATCACTGTATTATTGTGAAAGAACTTTTTTTTTTAATATTTTTTTTTTTTACAGGACGAGTGGTGGACATTTACTCCAAGTTTGACGTCATAGTAAGTATTGAGTTGGTGTTTGTATGTCCAGCCTTGCTTGTGTTCTGCTTTATTGATCAGGGCGTCGGGGTTTGCTGGTCATCATGCTGTCAGGGGGGGAGCTGAGTCCCTCTGTCGGGGGGGGGGGGGGGGCATGTACCCCCCAATATTTAATTTGAATATTATTCATCCCACTCAATAAATTGACCTTTATATTTAAATTATTGAACAGTGACCCCCCCCCCCCATATCAAACTCTCTCCTACTCCATTGCATATTAACACTGGGACTCACACGCTGACTTGTACTGGAAATCAGACTCTGCATTCTCTACTGAGAGATTGGTCTGAATTTTCAGATGTTTTAAGTTATTATCATGTGAAAGAGAAAATACATCCTCAGTTCTATGGTTTTACAAATCAGGACGTAATAAAACTCACCTGGTCCTTACCAGTTTCTAAAATTATTTGTCTAACCTCAGATGTAAAACAACACAACAGATTCCACAGTGTCATCATTTATTTAACAAAAATTAAGCCAAAATGGAGAAGCCGTGTGTGGGGGAAAAATAAGTACTAATTTAAAAACTTGCTGATGATCAATTAATCAAGTGGATTAACTCACTTAATTCCTATGGAAGCACCAGCGGTGTACTTAATTTTTCACACACTGCTTCTGCATTTATGACTTAGATTTTGTTAAATAAATAATGACAGGGTGTAATATGTCATGTGGTGTTGTTCATCTGAGGTTGTATTTACTTTATTTTAGGACCTGGTAAGTATCAGATTTTTTTATATTATGTCCTGATACCTAAAACCTCAGAACTGAAAGAGGTTGTAGTTTCTTTTTCACATGAATGTACATACATACTGAATTTGTTCAGCACTTAATCACGCAGCGGTTTTCCGTGGAACCATAACTGAGGCGTGGAGGAAACGGACGTCCAACCCAAAGTGAACGCGCCCTGAGTTTGTGGTGTCTGTCCAGAACTTGGCGGCCGAGAAGACCTACAACAACCTGGACCTGTCGGTGACCAAGGCACTACAGCACCGTTCCCAGTACTTTGAGGGCGTCCTCACGTGCCACAGGAGTGAGACCCTGGAGACCATCATCAACAGGCTGGTGGAGGCCGAGGTACACACCTTCGCCTGGCCCCCATGTGGAAAACCTTTAAGTGTCCCGGCTGTGTGAACTTGTCTTGCTCCCCCACAGGTCCACAGGTTGGTGGTGGTGGATGAACAGGACGTGGTGAAAGGAATTGTCTCCTTGTCGGACATCTTGCAGGCTCTGGTGCTCACTAATGGCGAGGGGGGTAAGTCTGGCAAACCCTCTGGTTTTTAACTGCATGTAATTATGTGGCCCAGTGCTATAAATCCATGAGCTCAGTCGAATGTCCAGAAATGGTGCAGTTTAGCTTCTGTTTGTAGGTACCGCCTGAAGTTGGAGTTGGAATGAAGGTCTTCCGGCTCTTCCCTTTCGTCTGTGGAACAGCTGGGAGGCAGAAGTGGGTTTGAAAAGGGAGAAGCACCAGCAGCTGTTATCCGTGTTCTACACGCCCCCTTTGAGCCCCGACTCCGCCCCTTTGAGCCCCGACTCCACCCCTTTTGAACCCCGGTTTCCACCGCCTCCTGATACAAGGGAGCATCCGGGATTTTGAACAGAGCAATAATCACAAAGTATGATTCACTGAAACCAGGCCACAGGGTCCACTGGAGCACGGGGCTACTGGAATCGCAGGGCAGTCTAGAGCAGATCCCTTCCCAATATCTACTTTTACCTTTTAGGCATATGAGTAAAAAAAATACAGTTTAAACATATTTATGCAGTTACTTCAGTTAGAAATGATTCTCTCTCCATTGGCGACATGATGATTTCACCTGTTTAGAGGCATACATTGTTCCGTGCTCACTTAGGGACGTCATGTGGGTCTGATGCCTTCAGATGGGGGTCATGACAGCAAGTGCAAAAGCTGACCAGCACTGCACACCTGCTGTCTGAAGTTTGCTCTATTACTATAGTTTATACTACAAGTTTTTTTTTTTTTTTTTTTTAAATTTGCGAAGGATACAACCATTTTGAGTTTTATGGGATCAGATTATCTAGACTTGTTTGATATTTGACTTAGATATTTGCCATCATTAGTGGAGCATTATTTGGGTATACCTTCAGTTTTATCCTTCCTCTGACTTTTATTTTGTGCATTGGCTGTGGCTACACCTTGGAAGTATGGATATTTAAATTAACTTTCACAGGAGTTGCAGTCCTCACCCACCCACTAGGTGTCAGCCTCTGCGTTCGCAACCAAGTGCCAGTTAACCTAAATGTGTCGGGCTCAATGAGTATAAGTACAGAATGTTTTGTAGGGACAGGGTTGATCCCCAAAGGATTTCACGCAGCGTTCTGCTATTTAGTCAGTCCCTCCTGCATCGTTAAAATTGCTATCAGCGGTGGGATCTGGCAAACCAGATAAATCATCAGAAATAACTTCATGGTGAAGTCAGCCTTCTACACGAGACGAGAGGCTTCTTGAGCGATGCTTAGGAGCTTTCTGCTCGAACGCCAACGCAGAACGCACACTTAGGTGATCTCACTGTGATCCAGTGCTTGCAATGGATAAGGCATGCTGTTTGTTTGACCACAGGAATCCAAGTATAGTGAATAGGAATACGTCAGAAGAGATTTCTCTGCATTTCAGAGCTTGCAGTTTTATTATATATTCAGTATCTAAATCAAGAACCGTGAGTCAAGTAGATGTTTGTTTAAGGTTACATTGCTCAGATTTCCCTTGTACCTCTTGCTGCATCTTCTCTCCACGGTCATGATAGGTTGGGGATGGTGTGTGAAAGGTGGCCCAGCAGTGCAGCAAGGCATTGGATGAGAAGCTTGGGTAAAAATTCTGGGTCTCAGCAGGGCGGACAAATGCCCACTTCGTTTGCGCAGCCATGCTCACTGAAGCATTTGAGAGACTCCTTCGCCAACCAGACAAACCACAGAGCGCGCAACTTTCCCGTCACACAACTGAATGATCATCGTATTACCGATGCAGGTCCCGCATTCACAGCAACGTGGTCGGTCTTGACACTGTGCCAGTGACAGATCTGCAGTTAATTAGATTCTGTTTGGTATTTCAATACATGAATAAATGTATGTGTTTATATACAAGTCATAATTATATCCATATTGTTTTTTTTTCTAATTCTATCAATATTAAGCATGAGCAATAAATTGTGCGTTGTACAATGTGTGGTCTCTGTTCCTGCCCAAACGTTCTCTAGTCTTTGATGGTTCTCAAACATACAAGATCAGTGTTGACCGGTTGACTGTGCTTCAGAGAGGGCTTTAGAATCAGCCTCTTTCTATAGTATTTTACATGCAGCAACTGAAGTGCGGCTCTCACTTTAAAAAAAACGGACTACAACAAAGATGTAGGAAAAAAAAATGCATTTATTTTATTTATCACCTATGTACATGTTTGCAAACTAGTCCTGAAAAGATTCTTTACACACATTTTGTAAAAGTCCTTAAGCTGTCCATTCTGGTAGGGATGTAAAGCCAGCATCCAGGCCATGCCGCCTTTGCGGTGAAGGAAGGTGCACACTGAAGAAAGCTCAGTAATACGTCTTGCAGGGAACAAAAGGACCCAAGCAGGTGAGGACTTCCACTCACAAAGGGAAGACTGAGCAGGGACTCCCAGCTGAACGCTTTTGGCTCCTGTGCTTCATCTGAGCTTAAAAGGACTAGATGAACACACCCCTGCATCTCTGGCTTCCAGTTTCCTGCAACGTGAGCCAGACTCCCAAATACCTTTATACCAAGCAGCAAAATTTTCAGGCAAGTATATACACCTTCCCTAGGTATCCCCAAAATTAAAATTTTAAAGAATAAATAAATAATATTACCAAGGTCAGACACCATTGCTGGGAGGTAAAACCTTGCAAGATACTCGTCCTTGGCTGATGGCATCGATAAACCTTCAGTAGTGTTTCATTGCCGAAAGGAGTTAAATTGTAGGGTGGCATGCTACAGATGGAAAAAGTGAAGCACCATTTTTTCCCCCCCATTGAACCCAGAAGCATGACAGGACCAGGGGCTGGCGATGGCCTGCTGTGGGGCAATGCCGCCCCCTAACACTGCAGACCAGTCACACATCGCTGCTGGTCTAAAACCATGCAGAAGTTTGGAACTGGGCTTGAGAAAGGACTTGGATACAGCAAAATGGGGAGTGGAAAGATGTCAGATCACAGCTGAAGCATGGACAAAGTGTCCTGACCAACCTCGGGTGGGGGGGTGGAGGAGGGAGACACCCCCCCCACAGACTGAAAACCCCTGAGTACCATGCTTGTCAGTGACAAAATCAGTATGATGGCAGCCTCACCCACTGAGACCCCCCTGAACGTCCGTCTCCCAGCAGCCACCGTGCAGTCAGACCCAGTCCACAACAGTCACCCTCCATGAAATCAAAATGTTTCAATATAACACAGATATATACAAAACAAATTCTAATTAAAATGAAAAATAAAAACCAAAGTTCCCCTGATTCAGGCTCCTCTCCTACCGACCTGCTACCTTCTACATCAAACGCTTTTCTATGGCAGCACTGAGCGTAGTTCATTTTTACAACAGCGCCACCTGCAGAGCATAAACGGGCAGCTCAACAACGCACATCATCATCCATTCAGCTGTACAGGATGCTTGAAACACGTCCATCCTGCTTAATAGAACGACTGCTTATATTGGGATCCTGGATTCGGTACTGGACTTTGAATTCAATAAATACAGTAAGCCAGTGACACCACAACCAGTAAGGAAGAGTTCATAATGTGAGTCACCCAGATAGGTTATTTTGTTTTCCCTCTTTCTTGACTTTCATGAGCAACATGGCCCCGTGCACCTTGGCTTCCGAGTCCCCCAGCCGGAGGTGACGGATCTCGGAAGGCTGGCATCGTGCTAAGTACCGACTAGGCTTAATAAATAAACCGCAATCAAGCTACAGAAACTGTACAGGATTCAAAGTCCCAGTCTAATCAGCACATAGCCATGTAGTTTATATGAAAGAGGACTATCTACTGAACCGTGGTATATTAAATATACATAATTTAACACAAAGCACCTCTTTAGGCAAGATTCAGAGACCTTTTTTGCACAACAGAATAATAGGACAAGATTACAGAGGCAAGTCTTATTCCACTGGCATGTGATGATGATCTTTATACCTAAATCTGGATATTCCTGCACTGTTAAAGGAACACAGCTGTAGTTATAAGGATACAGATGCAATACATTTGGTTTTTAAGCTGTGACTAAACAAGCCTAAAACTGATATTTAAAAAGCTAATGACCACCCCTTGATGTACACACTACATAAAATACAGTATATACAGTCAGACTATACAAGGCAGGTTCAAGTGTCCTAATCACAATCAGTTGTGATGGAGAAAAAAAATCAGCAGTACCTTAAGTTTCTATCTCTTAAAAGCAAAAAAAAAATTATATTATACACACAAAATTACAGCAGATCATTTATAGACAGAAAAAAAAATAATTGCAAGTTCAGTTAATTTCCATAATATTTTAACACAGGAAAAATTGTATGCCTTACTTTGTAAAAACTATTTATAATTTGCATATTGAGGAGGTAAAAACAGTGAAAACCATTCATAGACCAAGACACTGACATCCAATAAAAATGCATCATTTCATAAAATAAAGCACAGAAAACGAGGCAGGTGCCCCCCAAACTCGCTCCTGAGCTCAGCCCCATCCCCGTTTAAGACCGCAGACTGACCGGGTGCGTTCTGTACCAGCAAACCGCCGTGCATTTTAACCGTCAGATTACAGTCTGAAGTTTCCACAGGACTTATGAGTTTATATACTGTACCGGTCAGCGTCCATAACCAGTATCACTAGTGCTAATACACTTATCACATCACCAGTGAATCTGATATTTAATACATCACATTAATGCTCAGAGGAGGATTTCAGGAACCAATACAGCAAATCAGTAAGTGGTCAACATCATCAGAAAATGTCACATCCATCTATCCATTTTCCAGGCCACTTTTCCAGCAAAGGGACGAAGAGGCATGAACTTCTGCGGGCCGCGTTATGGATAATCGCCATTGGGGTCGCCCTGCCGCTTCACGTTCCCCTCCGAATCACGCACCATCGGCACCCGAACCTTAAAGAGCGCAACTATGAACGGGGACCCAATGTGAACCCACTTCACACACACAGCCGGCGTTAACCAAACCCAAACCCGCTGCAGCGCTGCTGTTGGTGTCGGATGGCCACGTCCTACAGACCAGCCACTGGCGTCGCAAACCTAAGAAGACAGGGGGCGCCAGTCCCCCCAAGCCCACCCTGCAGAAGAATACACACCCCCCCCCCCCCCCCCCATTTTGATTTAGAAGCTGAAGCCTGACCCCTCAGCTCAGCAGAAATGCTCCAGTGTTACTCTGTCCCTTGACGGAGGGAGACGAACTTTCAGCTTTGTTTCATTCTTGGTCTCCACCTTTGTCTCCCATGACCTACACGCAGATGGTCCTTGGCTTAACAGTCTGTGACAAAGAGTTTACAAAGAATCAGGGTCACCCTCCCCCCCAACCCACCCCACCCCAGCCTCAACTCTCTGTACAAAGTCAAACACCTTCTGACAAAGACGACAGATCGGAAGAGGGCAGTTTTACACAGATACCGACAAGAAGAAATTAAGAAATTTTGGTCTTGGGATGGGGGAAGGAGTTATTTGTCGGGAGATTAAAAAGATTAAATAGAAAAGGTACAGTGACACTGTACAGCAATTCATAAATTAAAAGGGCAGTAAGACTGTTCATAGTAGTAGAAGTAATAGTAGTAGTACTAGTAGTAGTAGTAGTAGTAATGGTAGTAGTAGAAGTAATAGTAGTAGTACTAGTAGTAGTAGTAGTAATAATGGTAGCGGTAGTAATAGTAGTACTAATAGTAGTAGTAGTAATAGTAATATAGTAGTAGTATTATAGTATAGTAGTAGTATTATAGTAGTTGTCTGTGGTTACAGGGAGGTCACTAAAGGGAGTGTTCAGACGTTTTGGAAATGGGTGGAGGGATACTGGGGTGTGGTTTTCTCAGTAGTTTTGGCTGAAGAGGTGAGGTAGGCCGTGTCACAACGCAGATTGTGGCTTTTGAACTGGCAGGACTTTTCGAAGCTGCTCTGGTGTCAACGGCGACGCCACGCGCCACTTGGCTCAGATTTTGATGTCCTCCTGCACGCTGAGCTGCGACAGCGTCTTCTTGATGCGCAGCGCGGTCAGCCGGGCAGCGCCGTTGGCGTACCAGCACTCCCGCATGATCTTCCCCATCACGCGCAGGGCCTGGAGCGTAAGGGGGGGGCAGGACCATTAGGGCGCTCTGGAGGGTGTTTGTGTGTGTATATGTGTATATATGTGTGTGTATGTGTGTGTATGCGCGTGTGTATATGTGTGTGTATGCGCGTGGCGCGGCTCCCCGACCTCGTAACTCTGCCACCAGTTGGGCACGTTGGGCCGGAGCTTCTGCTCACACACCACCTTCCTCATGTCTTCAATGGAGGGGTCAGAGGGTACCAGGTCATAGTAGGGCAGCTGGTACTCCTCATGGATACCTAGGAACACCCCCGGCTCCTGATCACCAAGTCATCCACCCGCAGCATATTACACATACGCTGATACACTGCACCCAAACTGCATGCTCAGATACACTGTACAGTGATCAATAAATATATAGAGTTCTGCCGAACCCCTTTCACTGCCATCGATCTAATATTCCTCTCAAGATGCAGTCTCAGTTTCCAGTTGTCTTTTTTTACCCCCTCTCATATTCATCATGTTCATCCCTCTTGCTCTAACATTACTTCCCCCATCACTGTGTGATACATACTGCCCCCCCCCACCCCCCACCCATCCCATAGAGCCCCACATGGCTGCGCCTTACCCCCTGCGTTACAGCGACGCGCGATCTCCCAATACACCAGGCCCAAGGCATAGATGTCGGCGCACTTGAAGGAGTCAAAGTGCCTGGTGTTGATGGTCTCATCCAGAACCTCGGGCGCCATGTACCTGCAGCACACAGAGCGGCTTCAGAAGTGGTTCTGGCCACAGGTGAAGGGTGGGAGTTGGCCCAGACCAGGGGTGGCCAATCTTATCCAGAAATGCCCATTGTGTGTGCTGGGTGTGGCTGCAACTCCATCATTAGATTACCAATTAAAGGAGTGATTAGGTGTCCTC